GATACAGTGAGTTGGTGTAGTCGATGGTGTGACTTCCACGTAAGATCTTATAGATTAGGCAGTTATATCATGACAAATCTACAAATTTAGGATTAGGTCTATTATTAGAGCAGCACGAATATCATAGTAGACCATAATTCTACAGATTCTTCATCCTCTTCAATGAACATGGATCTAACCTCCTACACGAACAGGCCTACAAACGCAATGCGTTCAGTTAAACCCGCTTCCACTCGACCACAATCAACCGATGTTTTCGTTCAACCTGACTTACGATATAGTACACACGTTTTCGTTCGTCGATACTCGCATCGACGACCATTCGAATCAGCATACGAAGGACCCTTCAAAGTTCTTCAACGTGAATCTAAGTACTATATAGTCGACAAGAACGGGACAAACGATAGCATCAGCATCGATCGCTTAAAAGCAGCGTATTTAGAAGGAAATCCCATTCACGACTTTCCTTCGGTACAATCGCACAACGCGACTCCTACACTCATAGTTCCTCAACCGACAACCAACACTAGCGATGATACTCCGAATGTATCTGAAAATAAACGTAAAACGACGCGTTCTGGAAGAAGAGTAAGATTTCCAGAACATTTAAATGACTACTGCACGTAAGGCACTACTCGACATTTTATATTATCTCGATCTTTCTTTTTAACGATATATATTTTTTTTAAAAAAAGAGACAATTTTATTATGCCTATATATTTATATTTTTATTTAAAAAAAACAAAACATAAAAAACATTTTTTAACACTATTACGTGTGCTTGAGTATATTTTCCATTTTTTCGCCGACATTGTGTTTTTACGTACATACAAGTGTATTTCGACATGTACTTACACTTTCTTTTTTCTTTTCCAGGACGACTGGAAAAGAACGATGCAGTTTACGAGGAGTCGAAAATTTCGTTGTAACTCTTTCTTTTTTTACTATGTTGTACCTCGGTCCCATATAGTAAGGAAAGACGACCAGACGCTGCTACACTTAGTAAGCTATCAGAAGAGTGTTTACCAACGACAAACTCGTTGGGTTTAAACTTCTGGCTGGCCACGTCTTAGGGTCGTCACTGCCCCACTAGGGGGGGAGTGATCTGTAGCGGTAAATAAATCCCCAAAATAAATAGCTCTGTAAGTTTTCAACATTGGATGCTGACTATATGTTTTAGTGGACTCATCTAGCTGAAGGCGCTCGGTCAGGCATCCGCACCAGATCACATGTGGTAACGCCGTGCTCAACATCAACTGCAATCGCTAGCCAGATTAGATCAGAGAATTCCGATATATTGGTCATCGCCAAATATACTCTTCCGATCTCCTCGACTCTGTCTTTTGGTTTCTCTGGGTGGGAACGAAATATATTAGGTGTTACTGGTAGAAGCGTTGTCAAACACTGAATACCTGTGACGTCATCAATGGCACAGGTATTCAGTGTTTGACAACGCTTAGAAACCTTGATTTTAAAAGTGCCACGGAACACAACGTTGTAAAACCATGAGTATGTGTGACACGTTTACTACTAACTCACAGTTTCTAATTTATTTGGCTTACGATTGTACCATTTTCATTTGTCGGTCTGCTTCACAATTGAATGTAACTCCATTATTTGTGCTTTCTGAGTCATCAGCTCACTTCACCTATCATTCCTTGTAAGCTCCTCTACACATGCCCGGCGCAAACCACTACCTATTTGCATATCAGTGAAAGATTCACCCCTGAGTCCATTCCAGAAATCTGATAAACGTTATTCATTCAAAAGGGTAAGAATGAAACAGATACAAATTAATAAAGGCGAGCAGTAATAAGAGCAATGGCAATCAAAAGACTATCATAAGAGGAAATAAACGTCCTGGGTGACTGAATATTCGTTGGTCTTTGTATTACCAGCGGGAGTGATATGTGTCGATAACTGAGGTCTGCTCGAATTAGACACTGTGTAGTCTGACTTTCAATTGAGTATCGTTTTAATATGATACCAGCAGCCTACACAATTTAAGTAGTTGATCCATACCTGACCTTATTAGTATGTCACAGTTTAATCTTCGCTCTATTGATGGTCGTGAATTTTTTTATTATTGCTCCACATTATTGATTTGGGCTCTTTCCCACTCATCGTTCTGAAATTAAACTCATTACTTACGACCATGTTATTGTTTAGTCTGATAGTGTTTCCTAATTGTGAATTGTGTCTACACTTAGAAAAGTATATGGACTCTCATGGCTGTCTAACTGAGCTCGAAAACAATGAAGGCTACCAAAAACAACAGTGACTGGAGGATGAACATTAAATATATCTCTTTTCACTTCTGCTGAAACCAAAACGTAATTTGAGCTTTCTTTTGTGGTAATAAGAAGCAGATTTTTCGTGCTAGAGGGTAATCCTCATTTTTATCGACAGAAAAAACCACACATCTGGTGAGTAGTTCTTCATTTAAATCGTGAAACAACAGCTGGAGCATGAGGTTATCTTTGCAAACACACATAGTTTTTAAGTCGCCCTATAGTCAAAAATAAGGAAGAATCCACTTTGAAGAAAAAATAACGAGATTCAGTCAATCCTATATAATTGCTCCACTGTTTGTATGAGATAATCAGGTACAAAAATGAAATGTAATAAATCTTCGGTGTCATATAAGCGTCTGGTCACCAGAACGGATTAGTTATCCGGAAAGAAATAGACACGGTGTAAATATCTTGGGCGCAGAAATACACTAAAACGGAAAGTCGCTTTTTTAAAATATGTACATGTATGAGCCTTCCAGAAGTCAAATTCATCACCAATTTCGGCCTTCTAACTTGTGTCGAAAATGCCTAATGGTCTGGTAGATTGCGAAAAGTTTTCGTCCAAAAGTAGAATATCCCGCCTCTGCTGGGCAAGTCTTTTTAAGGAGAACGCAATCGGTTTCCAAGCGTTTTCAACAAGTTTGTTAAGGTCACTGACTACTACTTTGTTCGGAGCGTCCACCATTAAAGCCATTGTGGAATAGAAGTCCGGATACGTCAACGTAGATGTTCGAGCTGATTTATTTTTTAGCTGATTAACTATCTCGGAGGTCAACCTGAATTCCTTTGGTTTTACTTCAAAGTAGCTTGTAATGCCCATACGGTCATCGATCGCCTTCAACTTTCAATGGGACCACATGCAGAGGGAATGCCTACTGGCTATAAAATGAACGGAAAATATCCAGTTGTATCAAGTGGTCGAATTCGGCTCTAGAGATTTTAAGCTTATCTGGAATTAGTTTACCGGGTCTAGCAAACACAGGTTTGCCTTCAGATTTGATCGTGCGACCTACCTGTAGTATACATTCGAAAGCCTGAGGGTTCGGTTTGAATTTGGAAATTCCGCGAGTATATCCTGGAAATTTGCAGTTCACACTGCCTGGGCTATTGCCAAATTTAAAGAAGTGATGTGAAATTATTTGAATTTCGTGTAGCTCGTAGAAGGTGATTCCCCTGAGTGTTAACTGTAGCTGAATTAGATAAAGCAATTCTAGGAATCGAATTTCTAGAGATATAAATTTCGAGTCGACAAGAAAACAGGGAACTCCGCATATAGCTTTTATGGGGTTATTATCGGTCTAAAGACAGGCTACAAGAAGAGGGTCGCGTGTGGGGTCGTCAATACCACACCATAAAAAACATTATCAAAGAACGCAAACCAGAATAGATAAGTGGACAAGCAAGTGAGAAAGAGCATTAGAGCTGACAAGGAGAAATACGTGGAAGACCTAGTAATGACAGTGGGAAAAACTGAACTAGGGGAAAATATGAAACAACTATATTACATGGCGAAGAAACTAGCAGGGAAATATAGCAAACCAGAGAGACTGGCCAGGTACAAAGAAGGTAATATGATCAGGAACAGAGGAAGAGGTGTGTGGAACACTTTGAGGGACTCTTGAATGGACATGCCTCCACTGAACCCAGCTCCATTTAATCAACCGAACACCGAAGCAGCACACACAGACCTTCCCATAGATGTCAGTTGACCAACGACGTAAGAAATCACGATGGCCATCAGACAAATTACCAGTGGGAAAGCACCAGGATCTGACGATATGCCCGCCGAAGCACTCAGGTCAAACATAGCAATAACTGCAAACATACTCCACATTCTTCTTAGGTAGATTTGAGAGGAAGAACAAGTGCCGACAGAAATACTGGAAAGAAGGACACCCCATCAAGATACCAAAGAAAGTAGATCTGAACAAATTTGAGAGGACTACAGAGGCATCACACTATTGTCAGTATCAGGAAAGGTTTTCGACCTAGGTTTGCTCAACCGGACAAGAGATTCAGTAGACGCCGAACTTCGAGATCAGCAGACTGGATCCCGTAAGGATCGATCGTACACAGACCGAATTGCGACACTACGGATCATCGTTGAACAATCAATTGAGTGAAACTCACCACTATACATCAACCTTCTTGACTATGAGGTGTTCAGTAGCGTGGATAAAAGAACCTTATTGGACGTTCTTCGACACCATGGTGCATCTGAGAAGACCATCAATATCATAAGGAATTCATACGACAGACCACACTGCAAGGTTGTGTATAGAAGACAGCTGACAGATGCATTTCAAGTGAGGACCGGAGTCAGACAGGGCAGATTGCTCTCTCCCCTTCTCTTTCTTCTAGTGGTTGACTGGATAATGAAGACCTCCACATCGGAGAGAGCATGGAATACAATGAACAGCTAGGAACCAATTACACGACTTGAACACCGCAGATGACCTGGCCCTTCTTCTATCTCAAACACACCAACAAATGCAGATCGAGACAGCCAGTATAGCAGCAGCAGCAGACTCTGCAACAGTAGACCTCAACATACCCAAGAAAAATGCGAGATCCTCAAACACAACATGGGGAACACCAACTTGATCACACTTGATGGAGAAGCTCTGGAAGATTTGGAAACTTTCATGTAGCTGGTCAGCAACATCATCAATGAACAAACTAGATCCAGTAAGTATCGACAGTTGAATTTACCGCCTGCTGGTTTTAACTTCTTTGAGACCATGAAGTGCGTCTTTGAGCTGCTCAGGGTTGTGAGTCACTTTTGTTTGCTGCACCATATGGTTGAATAGAAGAAACGAAAATTGAACCGAAAATTGACATTAATATTCGTAACATCAATGATGGAGCAGTATTTTACAAATAGGTGTAGGACATTAGATTTCTTGATTTAAGAGTAAGGCTAATAAGAGTCATGTTGGAAAGATCTCTCAATCCCCCTATATTTAGGGAGAATTTTTGTCCGTTTCGGGAAAATTTCTAATAAATGTCACGAAAACCCGGAAATTTTCCGAAGTCGCTGAAATTCCCTTGAATTTTTGGGCAATGTTTCTTCAAACTTTGGGAAAACTCTTAATTGTCATTGAACTTTGGGGAAAACCCCAAAATCGGGAGATTGAGTATAGTCTCTTATGTGGCATTGTATTCACGTTGTCTAATAATTTATTCGTTATACGTCATCTAATGCAGTAGCAAAACTTGCACTTCTTACACTACTATAGCAAGAGATAGGCGTTTTATTGACTGATGAAATTTCTCGGTTTGGTAGTTGCCCACTTTTAAATTGCCCATTACATGAATTGGAGTAATCTAGCGGTGGAGTAGTATGCGGAAATAGTATCAGTATGGTGTAATAGAGGTCAGAGTTACCTGGGATATCAGATTCAGATTTGTGTAGTAAGGACAGAAGGCCTACGGCCTGTTATTCCTTTTCTAGTATGCTTCTGTGAGTGTTCAGTCTTCTCTTGAAAGAGTCAATTGAAGGTGCGGACATCACTGCTTCAGGCAGCAGGTTCTAAGTATTGATAACGCGGTGTGAAAACCTGTATGCCACGGGTATTTTGTTCGTTCTTGGCTTTTCTACTCGTCTACTATGTCCTCTAAGGTGTCCCGATCTAGTGGGAAGAAAGAGAGAGAGGTCCGAAATCATTTCTCAGTATTCTGTACATCAAAATTAGATCTCCCCTTAGTCTGCAATAGGACAGAGTAAAGAGGTCCAGTTTTTCAAGCCGCTCTTTGTATGATTAACCCCGGAGTTCCGGAATTGCACGGGTAGCTGCCCTCTGTACTTTTTCTAATATGCCCGAGTCACCTTTTAAACAGGGGCTTGCAGCCTGAGCGCAGTTCTCTAGCTTAGTTCTCACTAAGGATGTGTATACTCTGGTGAACATGGTAGTATCTAACTTGGTGAATGTCCTTTTTAAAGCCCAGAGGGTTCGAAACCCCTTGGCTGCGACCTCCCGGCGATGGGCCGTCGTCTTAAGATCATTACTCACTGTCACCCCTAGATCCTTATGAGACCGGACTACGGGTAATGACACATCCCCTATGTTGTACTTATTAACCTTTGAATCCCCCAAGTGCATGTAGACACACTTTTCCGCGTTGATAGGCATCAGCCACTCTTTAGACCAGTTTATCATATTATTTAAGTCTGCCTGAAGAGTAAATGCGTCTTTGTCTCCAGTTATTACTCGCCAAATTTTTACATCGTCAGCGTATAATAACATTGTAGACTGTACTATACTTGTAAGATCATTAACGTACATTATAAAAAGTCAAGGACCTAGGACGGAACCTTGGGGTACTCCACTAAGTACTGGTCTCCAGATGGAGCACTTGTAATTTATTCTTACTTTTTGTCTACGACCTACTAGGAAATTCTTAATCCATTTTAAAAGAGGTCCGGCAATACCAAGGTTTTCCAACTTCAGTAGCAGTCTATTAGTTGGCACCTTGTCAAAAGCCTTACTGAAATCTATGTAGACAACATCCACTGAGTTTCCGTTGTCTAGAGCATTAATCCAGAACTCCCTTACTATAAGGAGGTTCGTTGTACAGGATAGACCATTTCTAAAACCATGTTGTGCCACGTTCAGCAAGTTATTGGTTTCCATAAATGCCGTTATGGTCTGTTTGATTATTCTTTCCAGTATTTTAATTACCACACTGTTGAGGCTTACGGGTCTGTAATTCGATGGAACTTGTCGTGGACCTATTTTATGTATGGAAGTGACGATTGCGTCCTTCCAGTCCATGGGTAACACCTTGGTCAAGTGACATATTGAATATAACAGTCAGTGGGGCTGCGATATATTGGGCAATATGTCTCAAGATTTTAGGGTGTAGTTCATCTGGTCCTGTTGACTTCTCCATGTTTAGGGTGCTAAGAGCCTTAAGCACATCGTTTCGGTCGAAGTCCACGGTGAGCAGCTGGTTTGACTCTATATTTGGGTCTGGTTCTTTCTCTAGAGGAGGTTCCTGAGTGAAAACTGCCCCAAAATAGTCAGCCATAGCCTCTGCTTTTTCTTGATCTTCCTCTATCATTTCAGATTCACTTCCTAATCGCCTCTACATTTGGTTTTAATCATCTTCTATTTACATATGAACTTTGCCGCATAAACTTATTTCTCCCTTTTAGTCCATACTGAAGATATATTTTGTTCTTTAATCTAACATTTTGTGCTTTCTAGAAATCACAGCTTAATCCAATGAAGTTATTAGCTTTTTCTTGTTCAACCTGTTTCATGCAGTTCTTAGTCGTATTCATTTCTATTCAGGTTTCTCAAAGTCACTATTGTGGTTCGACGCAATCGATAAACAACGTGTTATTCTCGATATCTTCTTGACTGTTCACTGTTACCAGAAGATCAATATCATGAATCTTTCTAAAGATCTTGCACCAAATGATCAAAATAATTTAAAGATATTACGTCAAGTTGAGTTTTATTTAAGCGAAGGAAACTTAAATCGCGATAGCTTCTTCAAACAGGAAATGCAAAAACGAGATGATGGTGGTATCCCAATAGATCTGCTGCTAAAGTGTAATCGTATGATCGCTATGAATGTCACGGAGGATATTCTAAAAAATGTTGTTGGAACATCAAAAATTGTGAGTCTGTCTAATGATGGTAAGTTGCTTGCTAGCCGTGATTTTAAAATTGATTGATGCAGTCTGGAAACTTGTTGGTAATTCTGATGAAGAAAAACTTGGCACATTCTTTATCTCTTTAGTAAAATTTACGTTTTTTCTGTATCATTTTACGTATGCATATTTTTAATACTGTGGTTGAGGTTAACTTGTAGTACTATATTCCTTTTGCTTAAACCAAACTAGGGTTGGCTATTGTCCGAGTATTGCCGTTATCTGAGTTGGGACCTCGTGAGAGAAGAACTATCTTAGTTACAGGACTTCCACGTTTATCCATCGGAATAACTGAAAAAGTAGGTGTGGACAACACTCCTCATAGGCAAAGTTCAAAACCAAGTGAAAATGAGCTGAAAAACATAACCTCAGCAAGTTGGGAACTTGGTGACTGGATTCGGAATGTATTTGAAGAATACGGTGAAGTCCTATTTGTCAGTTTACCTCGGTAAGATCTCATAAATTTACTGCTTCCTTCCCGATTAACTTGTCCAGCACAACACATACAGGGTCTTGGTTTTATCTGTAATTTCTCACAAATCAATTATCGCACACATTTTCCCATTTTTTGTGAGTCGTCGTTTTAGCTAGATTTGCTTTCTTTATAAACTTCATTTTACAACCTGGGACTTCCAGTCATCATATAGACCAATTGAACTGGCATCAAAAGACGTGTACTCAGTGAAGTAGACTTTTTATAGCAAGATACCACGTTTATATACAAACCACTGAAGACAAGAATGTATACGATTAGAATTTAGTTAACAACTAGACGATTAGATCATGTATGAACTATAGACCATTCATTCTGAAATAAAATTAATTTCTAATCATCACCTTTAATTCTTGCCATGTCACACTAGAGGTCCCAGAGGTCAACAAGGCAACTCTATCAAAATTTTTATATTGAAGTCGAGTATGACCGTGAAGAATAGTATGTTTCCAGTTGTCATGACCTATGGTAAGACTTCCTAATAAAATTTCAGAATATCATTTGAGAGCTTATGTAGTTTGATGTACTTGTTTAGCCCCCAAATCCCGTGGTACGGCTGAGGATTGGAAGGGTCCGATCTCCCTCTCGAAATGCTACCTCATGGTCACGCGCATACAGCCACCACCAGGGAAGTTCTACTCACTGCCTTCTCGCGGCGGGGATGTTTACGAAATTGAGAGGACAAAAAACGAATGTCCGGCGCTTTACCAGGGTTGCTGGATATGAAGGATCCATCTAGAGAAGTCGAAACACTGATTTCAAACCACTGGTGCACATGGGCTCCAGTATGCTGAAGGAACAAATGGCGTATGAACCTATTGTTGGTCACCGACTACCACGAGACTGCATCTCCTGACTTTATTCCACTGTATTGTGGATCAGACCTTTAGGTCGAAGGCTCCTGGTGTGGCCCCCTAAGAAAAACACCTGCATCAGTTTAAGCACCCGGGCACTATTCCAGCCCTCACACAAACCGAATGACGAAGTGGTGCCTCTTCGTACCAATATTTACGCTTTTAAATAATAATAATAATTAGCAGTTACTTCAAAGATCGCCTCTACCACAATTGTTTTTGGTTAGCGGAGTCGGGCGACAAAACCAATTGCGGTGCACTTCCTACTGCATGATTTTGTTCGTTTCTGTTCATATCTGCTCTTCTTTTTATCATTATTTTCTCGTCTTTGCCGCCCTCGTTAGTTCTTTATTCCTGTAATGATGTGAAGTATAGCGATGCATCTTGGACTCTACCTAAAGCCAATGTAAGATCTTTGTTCTTGAACTGGACGTATGTTGTCAAGTATTTTTAGTCTTAAATTTCTAGAATTTCCATTAGTCCATCTGGTTACCCTATAAACATCATGGAACTACTTGAATTTTTGTATTAAAAACATGACCAACCCTTATAATAATCTGAGTAAATAATCTTCGGATCCTGTTTCTCAAATAACAAAGTTCATTGCTTAACTTATCTATGTTGATTCTTTTATGTGCTATAGTAAAGTGTAGCAACCTGGAATGGTGCAGTGCTTTGCGAGGTGTAAAGCTTGTCTAATACTGAGTGTCTAAATATTTAGTTCGTATTTATGGGCGGTCTAATAAGTTTTATCACTTCATAAACCACTCAATTATTTAGTGGAAAACCAAAATTTTACCTCATCTTCGTTATTCATTGACTACTCTGTCAGGTTTTAAATATGGACACTAATCCACATTGTTCATCATTGCGGTCAGTGCTGAAATCTTAGCAAAAATATCGAGACTAGACGTGCCGACATCCACCATCGATGGACTCAGATTATATTGCCACTAACCATTGTTGGAGGGACCCGATAGAAAACTCGCTCGTCTTGAAGCATATGTTTAGACTTGGGTCATGATCTAGTTCGATCACGTATATATCTGTGTCTCACTGAATGTAGAAAAGCCACAACAAGAAAACTCCTTTAAGATCAATTTTAGGATTAAGAAGTTCAGAATATATTTCAGGAATAACTAAAGACCGAGCTAGTCAAGCGTGAAATGACCGTAAGCAGTGGTCGGTGACGAAAGCAGCAGATGTGGAAAAGGCAGCAGCGATACGTGACAGTAGACAACTGTGCAAATTTATCAAGTTAACAGGTATTGGGGATCCCATTGTAAGTGAAACTATCTCAAACGAAGACGAGACTGTTATTCACTCTCAATGCAGGAGATTGAACCGATGTGCAGAACACTTTAGGGAATGGTTCAACTGGTCTTCAGCCACACTTTAGTTGCCCGCTATCTGGCAAACTGATGTAAGTCTTCCAACTCTTATTGAGGTTGAAAAAACTGTAAGTAATCTAAAGCAAGGCAGAGCCTTAAATACTATCCCCTGAGATTTCTAAGGATGGTAGTCTAGTTTTAGCAGTTAGATTAACTGAGATCTTGGCTAAAGTCTCGGAAGTGTACGTTATCCCATCTGACCGGTCTGGACTGGTGATCGTCCCAGTCCATGAGGAAGGACAAAAATCCTTTTATGACAATCAGTTTAACTAATATAGTGTCTAAAATATTAGCCTCAATAATACTTCGACGTCTGACTAGAGCGAACCCAAAAAACCAGGCCATTTTCAGACTTGGACGTGGATGTATGGACCAAATGTTCAGATTCCGGATCACGGACATACTTTTTGATGTCCGACTAGTTGTATTCCTCGACCTCAGGGCGGCGTCCAACTCCGTTGATCATGAGGTTCTGTGGCAGTGTCTGTCATTGAAAGGCGTACCAAATAAGTATACTAACATTGTACAGACTCTCCACTTGAACACTACTGGTCGAGTCAGAGCTGATGGCGAACTATCATCGGAATTGGTTGCTTCAAACGTTGTTCGTCAGGGTTGTGCATTTTAGGACCACGGAGTAAGCCATGACGGGGTTGTGAATAGAGTACTAGGTAAGGATTTGAAATAGATTGGTGAGGTATTAAATTTTCATCAACTGAGGTGGTTGGGACATGTGTTACGTATGCCTAATCACCGCCTACCTCGATGGGCGATGTTTTCTGGTGTAGGAGTAGGTTGAAAGAGAGCCAAGGGCGGCCAAACCGAAATATTTCATTAGTCCATGATGTCACTGACAGTTGGACTTAGCCATATTGATAGGTGTAGATTATCCGGTTGGAGTCCTCGTGATTATCATAACTAATGGTTAGACTTTGAATGACATGGCTTTGTATCGTTTGTAATTGCACAGGTGCATCCGTTTTTTGTCTTCCCCAAATCCTGAAATTCTAAATTCCTCATAACTATTTTGTTTTCATTTCACTAGTGTATAGTTTCTCTTTGAGTTGTGTCTTTGATGCCTGATCTTTCGTGTTATCATTGATACTGTTACTACCTCTACTATTCTGGGATTCGGTCTGACAATTTCATCTCTCTGTGCTAATGGGATATGGCAACTCGAACCGATGTACATACGTACCAGGTTCTACGTTGTGATTGTTTGACTGACCTGGATTGACTCATTGCGTCTAATGATATCACAGTATGATGCCAGTGTAATCGAAGCTTTAGACTTGGTGTTTTTGCTTGTTGATACTCATCAGTAAGTCGTGTGTGGCATTTCAAAGATGCTGATGCCTTCTCAGAGTTGTGAGCCGCCACACTTCTTTATTATACTAAGAAACGATAGCACTGAGATATTTCAGTTATGATTGTTCAATTCAATTATTTAAAACCGCATTTGACAGAGTATAGATTTAAATAAACTAACCCGAGTTCACACTATAAAGGTAGAATTTGATGTGCTGAACGTGATACAAGTTGGTATTTTTATTACCCAACGAAGAAGTACACTGAAGACTTCATGGAAAATGTGTTGTGAACAATCATACCATACTATGATTGATTGCATATTAGTAAATTTTCTAAATAATATTATATATTATTGTGTTAATTTTAGTTATCACCACTCTAATTCGTTCCGAGGATTTGCTTTCGTTGAATTCAGAACGTCTAAATCTGCTAGAAAAGCTGTTAAACATATGTGTGTTTTCATGGAAAATGAAAAATGGCTCGTGCAACCTACTGGTAAGTAGTTTATTTTCTACATTTTGTAGTTGTGTATCTTTCGAAATAGTTTCGTTCTACTTTATGTGAAAATTGCTTGTTGTCCTTGATGAAACAACTGTTTGCTTTCAAACGTAATCCAGTTTATTCGTTGAATAATGTTAGTCAGACCTAGATTGTATCAAAACATGTTCCAGCAACAGTGGTTGAAAAATTACATACAGGGAATCCAGAGATAAATTGCATGATAGCTCTACCACGAAGTTATATATACTGGCCGCACTTAGACATCCAACTAAAGCAGCTCTCCCATTAGTGTAATAAATGCTCATTAGCAACAAAAACACCACGAAAATCAGCTGCGGCCATGGTCAGTATCACAGTCACCGTTGCAGTGTATAAACTGATTTTGCTGGTCCACTTCATGGACAAACTTACCTTTTGTTAGTTGATGCGTACAGCAAGTGGCCAGAAATCTCCCTCATGGAACATCCAACTGCAAACTGCGCGGTCAGAAAACTATGTCAACTGTTCAACCTTTTCGCAGTTTACTTCTGCTATCTTCTCAGAATTTTGTCGGCACAACAGAATCAATCATATCAAACACCTCTATTCCATCCCCAATCCAATAATGAGGTCGAAAGCTTTGTTGATATATTCCAAAATGCCCTTCAAAAATTAAAAAAGGTGGAAACCACTGATGATATTTTTGAAAGGTTCTTGTTCATCTATCGTATGTGAAATCTAGTCCGCCAGAGGAGCATCAGTTCTCTAGATTGCTGGTACGTCTTTCTGACATATGCCAAGTCATACGAAACCTAGGTTCAAAATTTCCTTTTGACTATTTGCACGCACTCTACATCTTGATATTTTTTATAAATAGTGTGACGTTTATTTTTATCAAATATCGTTAAACAACACTTGTGTTTTCCAACTTTGACTTTCGGTAGAGTGACCATTTATCTTGTTATCGTTTTATTATTTGAATTTATTTACAAAACAAATAGATACAAAAATATTGCTTTATTCACAGTGGCATCATTTGCAATTCTATTCCTAAATTCACTACGAATTTCTTATTATAGATTAACTGTATTCATCAAGATTATAACTCATGACTGACTAGCTGTGATTTACTCTCAGCTTAATCACTCAGATAAAAGTTTTGGATGGAGTATGTGGTTAGGCCTAAGTTCGTATTGTTAATAAGAATTTTACTTAGATCATATCTCCAAAGCATATTGTCCACCAGTTGGCTTTAATGTCCAGATAGCACTCTTAATGTCGCGAATCCTACATAATGTCATACATATACTCACGTGTTAAACTGGTTTTTAACTAATTGGTGCGCACTACATGTATTATAGTTTTTTCATACTACCTTTCTGACGGTTGACCCTGAGGAAAGCAAGCATTAACTAAACTAATTATCTGAATATGGTTTAATCATTATACCTTGGAAGAAGCATAACATTCTTATAATTCTCAAGGTAAGAACATTAGTGTTTAGATAACCACAAGCACTAAGTATATAATTTATACAAAGTAGTTTGATGACTATTTTATTTTGTAATAAAGTTTCGTTTTCATGTGTTTTTCAATTTACTTAATTCTTTTTATGATCTGTATGTTTATTAGAAACAAATGAAGTATCTGAGTGTCCAGAATCAGCATGGAAACCACGACTTGCATCTAAAGTTTCTTTTTCACCTCAGCAAATGTTAGCCAGACGGCATATTTGGCGCTGTTGCTCTCGAAAGAATAAACAACTTATTGCAGCGTTCAAACATTTACGTCAGGTCGGATACACTGCTAGCAATCCATGTGATAAGGAATGTAAGCTGAAATATATATTAAAGTATTTAATTATTATCTTAATATTCATAAAATTCATTGCATGTTTAACGCTTCCATTGACAAAATGACAATTATTACTTACTTACGCCTGTTACCCCTCATGGAGGAGCATAAGCTGCCCACTAGCGCTCCCCATTCAACTCTGTTCTGGGAAATCCTTTCCAGTTGCCATTCATCCTCTTGATATCTGCTTCGAATTCCCGAAGCAGTGTGTTCTTCAGCCTTCCTCTTCCCCGTTTCCCTTCAGGATTCAAAGTTATCGTTTGCCTTGTGGTGCAGTTTGATGATTCCCGTAATGTATGTCCTATCCACTTCCAATGTCTTCCCAATTTCCTATTCAGTTGGAAAGTGGTTTGTTCTCTCCCACAGTAGGTTGTTGCTGATGGTATCCGGTCAACAATCATGCGTAGATAATTGTTAATAAATACTTGTACGATTTTGATGATGGTTGTGGTAGTTCTCCAAGTTTCAGCTCCGTACAATAGAACTGTCTTGACGTTCGTATTGAACATTCTGACTTTGATATTAGTTGACAGTTATTTTGAGTTCCATATGTTCTTCAACTGCAGGAATGCAGCTGATGCTTTGCCAATCCTTGTCTTTACGTTTGTATCCGATACTCCTTGTTCGTCAATGATGCTGCCGACCTGGTACGTGAAAGTTTCCAAATCTTCCAGAGCTTCTCCATCAAGTGTGATCAAGTTGGTGTTCCCCGTGTTGTGTTTGAGGATCTCGCATTTTTCTTGGGTATGTTGAGGTCTACTGTTGCAGAGTCTGCTGCTGCTGCTATACTGGCTGTCTCGATCTGCATTTGTTGGTGTGTTTGAGATAGAAGAAGGGCCAGGTCATCTGCGGAGTTCAAGTCGTGTAATTGGTTCCTAGCTGTTCATTGTATTCCATGCTCTCTCCGATGTGAAGGTCTTCATTATCCAGTCAACCACTAGAAGAAAGAGAAGGGGAGAGAGCAATCTGCCTTGTCTGACTCCGGTCCTCACTTGAAATGCATCTGTCAGCTGTCTTCTATACACAACCTTGCAGTGTGGTCTGTCGTATGAATTCCTTATGATATTGATGGTCTGCTCAGATGCACCATGGTGTCGAAGAAGGTCCGATAAGGTCTAGATATGTATGTAATGTTGTTAAGTCACATATGAACAGTGTTCTTTTTTATCCACCATATAAATCCGATTACAGTAGCTAAACACTAGAAAAAATTGTTTCATTTTCCTGCATTTATGTCATCTGTGATTGTTATAAGTAGGTATTATTTATATTTTGCTTTATTCACTGGAATTTTTCTTTATACTTAGATTATTCAATTATACTTGGTGATAACTCTACAGAAGCTATACTGAATTATGTTAAAAACAATCGTTCTTGTGAACTATGTCAATCTAAACTACGTGTATTTCGTTATTCTGATTGGATATTTTGGAAGCAAAAGTTTTATCTGTGGCAACAAGCATGGATTGCAAGAATGCATCATAAAACTGAATTATTAATGACTAACAAAAATATTAGTAACAATGATGAATATGATGAGGATGCCACTATGGAAGAGAAAGAATGTTATCAAATAGATTCTGAAATAAATCGAAATTCACTGCCAGTAAAATGTTTAGATGAATCTTCAACTAGACCGAAAGCACTTCCAAATAATTTTGTTCCGAATTCCATTGTTCAGGTTAGGTTTCTTTTTTGTCTGTTTTGTCTTCGCTAGTTAGCTGTATTATTTCTCAATAATTAACCGTATTTCTTTGGAAGGAGTGATTCATTATCTACCCATAGATTTCAAAGAATATACTGTTAGAGGGTAGTAAACGAACTCGTTGATAATACTTCGTATCAAATAGCTTCGTTTTACTTTGCAATCTCATGACACTGGATTGATAGACATATGAATTATGTCATTGCAACTGATTCCGAACCAAGTTACTCAGCGTCTGAAACCATCAGTCATGATAATCGTGCGAGTCTTAACCAAGTAGCTTGCATCTACTCACATGGCTCAAATCAACAATAAATAACTTTGTGAACTGATACCACGTTTTTTAATATTACTATTAGAATGATGACGGACAGCAAGGACTTCGTTATAATTGCTTCACTTTAATGTAACAGTCATACTTATTTGAGAATAGCGCTAATACTGTGCTAATTCCGTTGAAATTTTTATCGAGGTGGTGAACATATATCATGCTTATCATTTAGTAAATTTTTCATTCTCACTTGTACTTATTCTTATGTTCAAGATCGTAATTTGTGTGTACGATTCATGTAATCCTCACTTAATCAATCCGTTTTCTCCCCAAAAATTGATTTGATTTACTTTTATAATGATTGTGTTAAAGTAGTAGATGTATTCTATCAATAGATATCGGACATTGCGAATGCACTCAGACTGTAAAAAGTAACACTTCAATATATTTTCAGTCACAGTTATTAAATAATTGCACGTCTGTACCGATTCTGACAATCCTTTATAAACTAAAATTCTGGAGACTTTATTTTATTTTCGTACTTATTCTTTTTTGATAGAATACCCTCGATAATCAAACACTGAAAGAAATATTATTTCTTATTTTCGAGATGTGCAAAATTTCATTCAGTGATTACTCCTATGATGGATTGTGTTACTTTTTTTTAGATATATTGGCCTTCAGTATTGATTCCCAAAGGAGATTCAGCAGATACACATCTGTCTGATGGTCTTGGTGATACACTGATAACACCGAAAAAATTATCATTTGCTCGATGTCTGCGTATTAGTCTAGAAAAAAATCTTCTTGTTCCATGTAATCTTTTAAAAGATGTTGCTCATGTAGACCCAAACCCTAACCAAAATCTATTGGACTCTGTTAACCAATTTGGGTGTTGTATAATACCAAATACTAATCTAAATGAATCACTTTCGTCAGATGAATTTGTTCCTCTTTTTATTCGAATGAAAAATAATAAAACTGCTCTGAAATTGGTGCAATCTGTTAATCTTTCTACAATTCATGGAGTAACAGCACGTATTCTTGAAGGTCCTAGTGAACAGGCGTACTGTGATAATATTATCAAATCTAAGTTAAATGCTAGAGAACGTCATCGGACTTCACAATTAAACAAACGTCAAAAACAAAAATCTGCAGATCATCATCCTACATCATTCACTAATTGTATACCTCCAAGTAATAAGACTGATCACAAGCATATTGTATTCGATGAATAAATTTTCACACGCTTTTTGTACATATACTCCGAGATCTATTTTGCATACTAAACTCTAATATTAAACATGTACACAGTAATACTTCTCAAGTTTTTTGCACAAGTAATTTTGTTTGAAATAGCTACTTTACAACGATATCCATGTTCATCAACTCCCGATCATAGCTACCTAACCCAGGTCCCTTAACAAGAAATATTCTTCCACGGTGTTTACAACCGGAAATTGCAACCGCCCTCACAATTCTATCAGCACTCAAGATCATCTTTCTAACAGTTAAGTCTGTCCCTCGCCTCTTAATAATCATACCATCCCCAAAGATAACTTTTCGTATATCTTTATCGTCACGCGCCACCGCTACTAATGATTTGAGTTCATGAAATGTTACTCCCGGTTTCTTGAAACCCTCTCTAAACTATATGTTAGAGCTTTTAATGTTTGAAACTTATACCAGATAATGCAACCGGATTCTTTAGCTAGGACTCTAAAATCTCGCGCCATCGAAATATAATGTGTCTCCAAAACGCACATTCAGGATTCAAGCACAGTTCATTTGACCCAACTTGTCAATGTAAAAACTCGACACGATTTACTGTTCGAGTATCTGAAGACCCAACTGCTATTTCCCGGGACCTCACTGGTATAGGTATATTATCAAGTTCAGAAACAGAACAGGCTCTGTTAGATTGGATTCCAATAGATAATCGCTTTTTCGCTGTCTGACTATACGGGACATTTAGAATTCGAGAAGATAAGGACACGCGCCGTTAAATTCTGATTGTCACTACCTACGCTCCCACTGACTGCAGCTCGAACTTAAGGATACATTTTATAGAGAGCTGTCCAACCTCCCTCAAAGAGCTAAGCGCTCTGATGTAGTAATGGTGGCAGGTAACGTTAATCATCAAGTAGGTAAATTAAGCCAAACCAAGAGGCACTAAAGCGGATCTGACGATGCTACAGGTCAGTGAACAGATAATTGCGACCGCATGTCGCAGCTATTCTCAAATAACTCTATTTCTGACAAACATCAACTTAAAACAGGGAGAAACGACGTCTGACGTGCCGACATCCACCATCGATGGACTCAGATTATATTGCCACTAACCATTGTTGGAGGGACCCGATAGAAAACTCGCTCGTCTTGAAGCATATGTTTAGACTTGGGCCATGATCTAGTTCGATCACGTATATATCTGTGTCTTACTGAATGTAGAAAAGCCACAACAAGAAAACTCCTTTAAGATCAATTTTAGGATTAAGAAGTTCAGAATATATTTCAGGAATAACTAAAGACCGAGCTAGTCAAGCGTGAAATGACCGTAAGCAGTGGTCGGTGACGAAAGCAGCAGATGTGGAAAAGGCAGCAGCGATACGTGACAGTAGACAACTGTGCAAATTTATCAAGTTAACAGGTATTGGGGATCCCATTGTAAGTGAAACTATCTCAAACGAAGACGAGACTGTTATTCACTCTCAATGCAGGAGATTGAACCGATGTGCAGAACACTTTAGGGAATGGTTCAACTGGTCTTCAGCCACACTTTAGTTGCCCGCTATCTGGCAAACTGATGTAAGTCTTCCAACTCTTATTGAGGTTGAAAAAACTGTAAGTAATCTAAAGCAAGGCAGAGCCTTAAATACTATCCCCTGAGATTTCTAAGGATGGTAGTCTAGTTTTAGCAGTTAGATTAACTGAGATCTTGGCTAAAGTCTCGGAAGTGTACGTTATCCCATCTGACCGGTCTGGACTGGTGATCGTCCCAGTCCATGAGGAAGGACAAAAATCCTTTTATGACAATCAGTTTAACTAATATAGTGTCTAAAATATTAGCCTCAATAATACTTCGACGTCTGACTAGAGCGAACCCAAAAAACCAGGCCATTTTCAGACTTGGACGTGGATGTATGGACCAAATATTCAGATTCCGGATCACGGACATACTTTTTGATGTCCGACTAGTTGTATTCCTCGACCTCAGGGCGGCGTCCAACTCCGTTGATCATGAGGTTCTGTGGCAGTGTCTGTCATTGAAAGGCGTACCAAATAAGTATACTAACATTGTACAGACTCTCCACTTGAACACTACTGGTCGAGTCAGAGCTGATGGCGAACTATCATCGGAATTGGTTGCTTCAAACGGTGTTCGTCAGGGTTGTGCATTTTAGGACCACGGAGTAAGCCATGACGGGGTTGTGAATAGAGTACTAGGTAAGGATTTGAAATAGATTGGTGAGGTATTAAATTTTCATCAACTGAGGTGGTTGGGACATGTGTTACGTATGCCTAATCACCGCCTACCTCGATGGGCGATGTTTTCTGGTGTAGGAGTAGGTTGAAAGAGAGCCAAGGGCGGCCAAACCGAAATATTTCATTAGTCCATGATGTCACTGACAGTTGGACTTAGCCATATTGATAGGTGTAGATTATCCGGTTGGAGTCCTCGTGATTATCATAACTAATGGTTAGACTTTGAATGACATGGCTTTGTATCGTTTGTAATTGCACAGGTGCATCCGTTTTTTGTCTTCCCCAAATCCTGAAATTCTAAATTCCTCATAACTATTTTGTTTTCATTTCACTAGTGTATAGTTTCTCTTTGAGTCGTGTCTTTGATGCCTGATCTTTCGTGTTATCATTGATACTGTTACTACCTCTACTATTCTGGGATTCGGTCTGACAATTTCATCTCTCTGTGCTAATGGGATATGGCAACTTGAACCGATGTACATACGTACCAGGTTCTACGTTGTGATTGTTTGACTGACCTGGATTGACTCATTGCGTCTAATGATATCACAGTATGATGCCAGTGTAATCGAAGCTTTAGACTTGGTGTTTTTGCTTGTTGATACTCATCAGTAAGTCGTGTGTGGCATTTCAAAGATGCTGATGCCTTCTCAGAGTTGTGAGCCGCCACACTTCTTTATTATACTAAGAAACGATAGCACTGAGATATTTCAGTTATGATTGTTCAATTCAATTATTTAAAACCGCATTTGACAGAGTATAGATTTAAATAAACTAACCCGAGTTCACACTATAAAGGTAGAATTTGATGTGCTGAATGTGATACAAGTTGGTATTTTTATTACCCAACGAAGAAATACACTGAAGATTTCATGGAAAATGTGTTGTGAACAATCATACCATACTATGATTGATTGCATATTAGTAAATTTTCTAAATAATATTATATATTATTGTGTTAATTTTAGTTATCACCACTCTAATTCGTTCCGAGGATTTGCTTTCGTTGAATTCAGAACGTCTAAATCTGCTAGAAAAGCTGTTAAACATATGTGTGTTTTCATGGAAAATGAAAAATGGCTCGTGCAACCTACTGGTAAGTAGTTTATTTTCTACATTTTGTAGTTGTGTATCTTTCGAAATAGTTTCGTTCTACTTTATGTGAAAAATGCTTGTTGTCCTTGATGAAACAACTGTTTGCTTTCAAACGTGATCCAGTTTATTCGTTGAATAATGTTAGTCAGACATAGATTGTATCAAAACATGTTCCAGCAACAGTGGTTGAAAAATTACATACAGGGAATCCAGAGATAAATTGCATGATAGCTCTACCACGAAGTTATATATACTGGCCGCACTTAGACATCCAACTAAAGCAGCTCTCCCATTAGTGTAATAAATGCTCATTAGCAACAAAAACACCACGAAAATCAGCTGCGGCCATGGTCAGTATCACAGTCACCGTTGCAGTGTATAAACTGATTTTGCTGGTCCACTTCATGGACAAACTTACCTTTTGTTAGTTGATGCGTACAGCAAGTGGCCAGAAATCTCCCTCATGGAACATCCAACTGCAAACTGCGCGGTCAGAAAACTATGTCAACTGTTCAACCTTTTCGCAGTTTACTTCTGCTATCTTCTCAGAATTTTGTCGGCACAACAGAATCAATCATATCAAACACCTCTATTCCATCCCCAATCCAATAATGAGGTCGAAAGCTTTGTTGATATATTCCAAAATGCCCTTCAAAAATTAAAAAAGGTGGAAACCACTGATGATATTTTTGAAAGGTTCTTGTTCATCTATCGTATGTGAAATCTAGTCCGCCAGAGGAGCATCAGTTCTCTAGATTGCTGGTACGTCTTTCTGACATATGCCAAGTCATACGAAACCTAGGTTCAAAATTTCCTTTTGACTATTTGCACGCACTCTACATCTTGATATTTTTTATAAATAGTGTGACGTTTATTTTTATCAAATATCGTTAAACAACACTTGTGTTTTCCAACTTTGACTTTCGGTAGAGTGACCATTTATCTTGTTATCGTTTTATTATTTGAATTTATTTACAAAACAAATAGATACAAAAATATTGCTTTATTCACAGTGGCATCATTTGCAATTCTATTCCTAAATTCACTACGAATTTCTTATTATAGATTAACTGTATTCATCAAGATTATAACTCATGACTGACTAGCTGTGATTTACTCTCAGCTTAATCACTCAGATAAAAGTTTTGGATGGAGTATGTGGTTAGGCCTAAGTTCGTATTGTTAATAAGAATTTTACTTAGATCATATCTCCAAAGCATATTGTCCACCAGTTGGCTTTAATGTCCAGATAGCACTCTTAATGTCGCGAATCCTGAATAATGTCATACATATACTCACGTGTTAAACTGGTTTTTAACTAATCGGTGCGCACTACATGTATTATAGTTTTTTCATACTACCTTTCTGACGGTTGACCCTGAGGAAAGCAAGCATTAACTAAACTAATTATCTGAATATGGTTTAATCATTATACCTTGGAAGAAGCATAACATTCTTATAATTCTCAAGGTAAGAACATTAGTGTTTAGATAACCACAAGCACTAAGTATATAATTTATACAAAGTAGTTTGATGACTATTTTATTTTGTAATAAAGTTTCGTTTTCATGTGTTTTTCAATTTACTTAATTCTTTTTATGATCTGTATGTTTATTAGAAACAAATGAAGTATCTGAGTGTCCAGAATCAGCATGGAAACCACGACTTGCATCTAAAGTTTCTTTTTCACCTCAGCAAATGTTAGCCAGACGGCATATTTGGCGCTGTTGCTCTCGAAAGAATAAACAACTTATTGCAGCGTTCAAACATTTACGTCAGGTCGGATACACTGCTAGCAATCCATGTGATAAGGAATGTAAGCTGAAATATATATTAAAGTATTTAATTATTATCTTAATATTCATAAAATTCATTGCATGTTTAACGCTTCCATTGACAAAATGACAATTATTACTTACTTACGCCTGTTACCCCTCATGGAGGAGCATAAGCTGCCCACTAGCGCTCCCCATTCAACTCTGTTCTGGGAAATCCTTTCCAGTTGCCATTCATCCTCTTGATATCTGCTTCGAATTCCCGAAGCAGTGTGTTCTTCAGCCTTCCTCTTCCCCGTTTCCCTTCAGGATTCAAAGTTATCGTTTGCCTTGTGGTGCAGTTTGATGATTCCCGTAATGTATGTCCTATCCACTTCCAATGTCTTCCCAATTTCCTATTCAGTTGGAAAGTGGTTTGTTCTCTCTCACAGTAGGTTGTTGCTGATGGTATCCGGTCAACAATCATGCGTAGATAATTGTTAATAAATACTTGTACGATTTTGATGATGGTTGTGGTAGTTCTCCAAGTTTCAGCTCCGTACAATAGAACTGTCTTGACGTTCGTATTGAACATTCTGACTTTGATATTAGTTGACAGTTATTTTGAGTTCCATATGTTCTTCAACTGCAGGAATGCAGCTGATGCTTTGCCAATCCTTGTCTTTACGTTTGTATCCGATACTCCTTGTTCGTCAATGTATTCCTCGACCTCAGGGCGGCGTCCAACTCCGTTGATCATGAGGTTCTGTGGCAGTGTCTGTCATTGAAATGCGTACCAAATAAATATATTAACATTGTACAGACTCTCCACTTGAACACTACTGGTCGAGTCAGAGCTGATGGCGAACTATCATCGGAATTGGTTGCTTCAAACGTTGTTCGTCAGGGTTGTGCATTTTAGGACCACGGAGTAAGCCATGACGGGGTTGTGAATAGAGTACTAGGTAAGGATTTGAAATAGATTGGTGAGGTATTAAATTTTCATCAACTGAGGTGGTTGGGACATGTGTTACGTATGCCTAATCACCGCCTACCTCGATGGGCGATGTTTTCTGGTGTAGGAGTAGGTTGAAAGAGAGCCAAGGGCGGCCAAACCGAAATATTTCATTAGTCCATGATGTCACTGACAGTTGGACTTAGCCATATTGATAGGTGTAGATTATCCGGTTGGAGTCCTCGTGATTATCATAACTAATGGTTAGACTTTGAATGACATGGCTTTGTATCGTTTGTAATTGCACAGGTGCATCCGTTTTTTGTCTTCCCCAAATCCTGAAATTCTAAATTCCTCATAACTATTTTGTTTTCATTTCACTAGTGTATAGTTTCTCTTTGAGTCGTGTCTTTGATGCCTGATCTTTCGTGTTATCATTGATACTGTTACTACCTCTACTATTCTGGGATTCGGTCTGACAATTTCATCTCTCTGTGCTAATGGGATATGGCAACTTGAACCGATGTACATACGTACCAGGTTCTACGTTGTGATTGTTTGACTGACCTGGATTGACTCATTGCGTCTAATGATATCACAGTATGATGCCAGTGTAATCGAAGCTTTAGACTTGGTGTTTTTGCTTGTTGATACTCATCAGTAAGTCGTGTGTGGCATTTCAAAGATGCTGATGCCTTCTCAGAGTTGTGAGCTGCCACACTTCTTTATTATACTAAGAAACGATAGCACTGAGATATTTCAGTTATGATTGTTCAATTCAATTATTTAAAACCGTATTTGACAGACTATAGATTTAAGTCGACTAGCCTAATTTTGTATTATTAGCATCACCTCAATTAGTCAATTCTCTTGTAATAATCTAATATATATTTACGATTTTCTCCCTGATATACATTTATTTATCTTGTATCATAACTAACTTTTAAATACGGTATTACGGACATGGTGTTCAAGGAATCTACTCCGTGTGTCGTATTATTCAATCTGTCACTTCTTGCCGTATTCTCTTACTCAATCAAACAATTCAGGAAGCTAGTGACTGATATATATATTTCCTGTTACTACCTGTAGGAGATGCTTGAATATCTAGATGCTCTTTATGTTTGACCTTGATTACCAACTGCCAAAACTGCAGTCAATAAATGTCTGTATTTTGTTTGTGGTGTTGGTAGGCTTACAAAACATCTGCAACTGGTTTGTTAGTGGGACACTTACCAATATTTGAAGCATATCATCCTCAAAGTTGACAAGCCGTAGATTTATGTTGGTGCTCGACAGTGGACTTATCGTAATCAAAATGCTTACGCAAAATGGTCTCGCTAGTTTTTTATAGAAAAATTGACTTTCGTAGGTCATCCGAAATACTTTAAATACTCTCGATTTTCTTCAAATAAATGAATCATGGGATAAAGCGTTCATATTACATTTCACGCTTTTCCTTTTGTGTTCAAGTTGCCGTTCTTTCAGAAGACCTGTCAACCATTTCACAAATACGTTGGTTTCTAAATTTTTTAATACTTTGAGGAACAACATACTGCTGCATCATAAGCTATGGACAACTGTAGCAAGTTGTTTCATAAGTTTGAAAATGTCAGTTTCTCAAATCTGACCTATCGTTTTATTTCAACTGGGTTATCTTAACATCAATTTTTCAATCATTCACATTAATATGGTCTCATAGATAAACATTCTGCCGTTTCTTTCAATTTCTTCGTTTGTGTTGGTCAAGGACTCCAAAACATTCATCTGAAATTGAGTCCTTGTTCAACATAAGACATAAACATTGTCCTGTCTTGAGACGTTTTACTAATTTACTGTCCTGTGCAGGATTCAAATGTAAGAAAAATTCCTAATGATACAGAAACTCGGTAAAAGTTAGAAGCAAAGTATACTATCTCACGAAATTGTCTACGTCATAAAATGTTTCTTGTTAAAGATAATGCGATTATTATTTAACAGTTCGAAAAAAGCTTTCATTATAAATTTACATCATCTAGAAAACAAGTAAAAATCAGAAGAAATTATTTATTTCATTTAAATTTGAGACTTTTCAGTAATAATCACCGATCACCCTACACAGAAGATAAATATTAGACTGTCCAGTTTCTCGTTGAGTACGGTGTCATGAAATTGTATAACCGTAATCCAATAAAATACATTTTTATT